TTTTATTTTTACAACTTGGATTTACAGCAAAACAATCTCCACTTGATGTGGGATTGGTTTCCTTCTGTTCAGTTTGTGTTGTTAATGGCTCTGAAAGGTTTGGGAGAGGATCTGCGGAGCCAGTTCCAGATCGGTCCTCCTACTTACAATACAGTGGGTATCCCCATCTGATACAGTCACTTGTAAGTGTATTTGTCTATGTATATATGCACATATATGTTTGTCTGTGTGATGTAAATGTAGTTTTGAAACTGAATAGTGTCGCACACTTGTACAGGGTAACTAGAATTGTATGAGTGGCTATAAGGCAGACACTACATCACAATTATCTGTACCATGGAACAAGCCCATGAGCTTATGCCTTTGGATCCTACTTATTTCAGGCAATATTCACCACTGTTGCGGGGTAGTGGGAATGCTGAGTTCATCTCTTTTGGTGGCATTGTAATATCTTTGCTCACAAGGGTAGAGGTCAGGAGGCATAGAAAAAAGAAAATGGGTTTGGGGGCCAAAGACTGGGATAAAATCCTAAACCCATCAGCTAATAGCTATGACATTAGGCAAGTGACTTAATCTCTCTGTGACTATTCATAAAATTTATAAAATTGGAAAATCTATACTATTCCATGCTAATACTGTTGTGAACATTAAACAAAATACTTTTTGTAAAGTTTGTACCTGAGAGCTTGACAGAGAGTAGGCACTCAAAAACTTTTAGCTTGCTTCACATTATAAAACTAGCCCAGAACAATGAAACTTCCCCCCCAGTAATACACGCAGGTGTATGGGTTCATGCTTACAGGCTGCCATATGAATGTACTCTCTAGTTGTCTCTTCTAAAAACATGCAATGTGTGGATCCAGTAAAGTCTGTCATTCTAGAAGTGTATCACAACTGTATCAATCAGAGTTAACAAAGGAGACAAAAAAGATGAAGTAGAAAAGCCACAATCCGTGGAAATTTACTACTTTTAAAGTTTTTTTGGTACTTCAATTATGCATGTGTGGTTTTATGTGTCTGCATGTGTATAAAATCCAACAGAGGCCGGGCGCGGTGGCTCACGCCTGTAATCCCAGCACTTTGGGAGACTGAGGCGGGTGGATCATGAGGTCAGGAGATCGAGACCATCCTGGCCAACATGGTGAAGCCCCATCTCTACTAAAAATACAAAAGTTAACCAGGCATGATGGCATGTGCCTATAGTCCCAGCTACTCAGGAGGCTGAGGCAGGAGACTTGCTTGAACGCGGGAGGCGGAGATTGCAGTGAGCCGAGATCGTGCCACTGCGCTCCAGCCTGGGCGACAGAGCAAGACTCCCTCTCACAAAAAGAAAAAAAAAAAAACAGAATATTTTAAATATTGTTACATATAGCCAATATTATTTTAGATTTACCACATATCTACCATTTTCATTCCTCTTCATTCCTCCCTGTACAAACTTCAATCTAGATTTGTTTTTTTCTCTACCTAAAGAATACCTTTTAGTATTTTCTGTAATGCAGATCTGTTGGTGGTGAATTCTTTTAATTACTGTTTGTCTGAACGTGTCTCTATTTTGCCTTCATTCTGGAAGGACCTTTTGGCTCCATACAGAATTCTCAATTGGCAATTATTTTTCTTTAGCACTGTAAAGATATTCCATTATTTCCATTGTCTACTGGCTTCCATTATTTTTGTTGAGATGTAAAGTGTGAGTTCAGTTGTTGCTTATTTGGAGGTAATATGTATTTTGTTTTAAAGGCTTTTTTTTTTTTTTTTTAATGGAGTTTCTCTGTTGTCACCAAGGCTGGAGTGCGATGGCATGATCTTGGCTCACTGCAACCTCAGCCTCCCGGGTTCAAGCGATTCTCCTGCCTCAGCCTCCCAAGTAGCTGGGATTACAGGCTCCTGCCACCATGCCCAGCTAATTTTTATATTTTTAGTAGAGATGGGGTTTCACCATGTTGGCCGAGTTGGTCTCAAACTCCTGACCTCCGGTGATCCACCCGCCTCGGCCTCCCAAAGTGCTGGGATTACAGGCATGAACCACCATGCCCAGCCTATTCTAGAGACTTAATGATATTTTTTTCCTGTGTAGTTTGCAAGATGTCTTTGATTTATAGCAATTTATTTCTCATCTGCCTCAGTGAGGATTTCTTTTTATTTTTCCTGTTTGGGCTAGGCCTTCTTGAAACTGTTTTACTATCCTTCTTCAGTGTGGGAAAATTCTTAGCCATTACCTCCTCAAATATTACTTCTGCCCTGTTACCTCCCCTCTCTTCCTCCTCCTAGGATTCAAATTGTGTGTCTGTTAGCCCCTCTCAATTTATCTTATCTGTCTCTTACCCTCTCCTCCATATTAATGTCTGTTAGCCCCTCTCAATTTATCTTATCTGTCTCTTACCCTCTCCTCCATATTAACCATCTTTTTGTCTCTGTGTTCACTCTGTGGAGTCTCTTCTAAAGCTCTAATTAGAGAATCCACTTCATGAATTCTTTCTTAATCCATATCTATTCAACTGGAAAACTCATTGCATTCTTGATTTCAATGGGTGTATATTTTAATTCTATAATTCTCATAGATCTTTTTAAAAATTAATTAATTTTTTTAGAGACAGGGTCTCACTCTGTTGCCCAGGCTGAAGTGCATCTTGCGATCATAGCTCACTGCAGCCTCTAACTCCTGGGCTCAAGATCTTCCTGCCTCAGCCTCCTGAGTAGTTGGGACTACAGGCGCGCATCACCACACTAGGCTATTTTTTTTTTTTTTAAATTCTGTAGAAACAGGGTCTCACTTTGTTGCCCAGACTGATCTGAAACTCCTGGCCTCAAGTGATCATCCCTGTCTCAGCCTCCCAAAGTGCTGGGATTACAGACATGAGCCACCATGCCTGACTTCATGGATCTTTTAAAAACAGGTCCTAGTTTCCTATCAAAATTCTCAAGCTGTCTTTAATCTTCTTAAATATTGTAAGCATAGTCATTGTAAAGTCTGTATGTATGACTCTATATGAGAAGCCCTGGAGCATCCATTTTTAAGATCTGATATTTTATTAGTGTTTATACATGTTATCTGGTCTCCTCATGACCACCACCCCCCTTTTTAAATTGAATGCTTTTATTTGCAAAATTGTGAAAATAATTCAAGACCTTAATCCAGTTTTAGGAACTCAGATGAGTCAAATCTGAGCTTGAGACCTTGAAAGGCCTGTTGGCTTGTGGTTCACTGTCACCTCTAAGGGACAGTGCTTTGGGGTCACAACTGAAAAGAATGGGGTTCACCAGAGAGCACCCTCCCTTGGTGTACCCTGAACTTCATTACCTTTTCCCTATGCTCTTAACATTATCAAAAGTCCAGTTGGTTTCCCAACTGCTCCACTTTGGAATGTTCAAGTGTCTTCAGGAGAAAACAGGCCCCTAACACCAGCTTCAACTGCCTGGGCCATCATGCTTTCCTGATCCAACCCAGGGACTTTGTGTGTGTGTGTGTGTGTGTGTGTGTGTGAGAGAGAGAGAGAGAGAGAGAGAGAGAGAGAGAGAGAGACAGAGAGACGGAGTTTCGCTCTATCGCCCAGGCTGGAGTGCAGTGCTGCAATCTCGGCTCACTGCAGCCTCTGCCTCCTGGGTTCAAGCAAGTCTTCTGCCTCAGCCTCCCGAGTAGCTGGGATTATAGGCACCTGCCACCACACCTGGCTAATTTTTGTATTTTTAGTAGAGACAGGGTTTCACCATGCTGGCCAGGCTGGTCTTAGAATAAAGTGGCTCAATCTTGGCTCACTGCAACTTCCGTCCCCCGGGTTCAAGCGATTCTCCCTTCTGAGTAGCTGGGATTATAGACGCCCGCCACTACACCTGGCTAAGTTTTGTATTTTTAGTAGAGACGGGATTTCGCCATGTTAGCCAGGCTGGTCTCAAACTCCTGACCTCAGATGATCCATGCGCCTTGGCCTCCCAAAGTGCTGGAATTACAGGCATGAGCCACCGCACCTGGCCTTTTTACTATCTTATTTGCTGTCCAGTACTATAAGAAAAAAAGTTTAAACATTTTGTCCAGAGTTTTAAAATTTATTTATTTGCTTACATTTTTGTTCAGAGTTTTTAGTTGTCCTCAGAAGGAGAGTTGGTCCAAATTACCTAGTCTACTACATCTAGAAAGGACATTGAAAATTGACCTTTTTTTTTCTTTTTCTTGAGATGGAGTCTCACTCTGTGGCCCAAGCTAGATCGCCCAGTGGCACGATTTCAGCTCACTGCAACCTCTGCCTCCTGGGTTCAAGCAATTCTCGTGTCTCAGCCTCCCAAGTAGCTAGGATTACAGGTGCCCGCCACCATGCCTGGTGAATTTTTTTTTATTTTTAGTGGAGACAGGGTTTCGCCATGTTGGCCAGGCTGGTCTTGAACTCCTGACCTCAAGTGATGCACCCACCTTGGCTTCCCAAAGTGCTGGGATTACAGGCATGAGCCACTGTGCCCTGCCACCAAGCATCCTTTTAGGGGCTGGGGACTCAATGATAAACACATCATGCCTGCTTCTTGGAACTCACCTACAGTCTCACTCTGATCCCTGTTTAGTCCTGTCCTGTATGATAATAACAGCTGTCCATTGAGCTCATAAAATCTAAGACCATGCTGGGCTTCTGAGCCACCCGCAGAGCCTAGCTCGATGCTGAAAGCTAAGTGGGTGTTCTGTCATTGCTGGGGTTTGATTGACTGGTTCTAACAGAGACCAGCTATAGAGCTAACACGTGGTGGAATATTTTGAATATTGATGGTCTTTTCACTGGCTTCTGCCTATGGTAAGTACAGGTACAACCCAAAGTGAAGAGCCTCATTTATAGGGTGTGACTAGGGGAGAGGGAGGTTTGCAAACTGAGTCATTTTCCCCCCATTCGGCCTGTGTGTGTCTATGTGTGTATGTGTGAGTTCATACGTGTGTGTGTGTGCATAAAATCAAACAAGAATAAAATGTTTTCATTTGTCCCCTTCCTTCTTCCTCTCTCTGTCTCTCCCTGTTTCCACAGGTCAGCGTTGAAGTTTTGGTAGAGTATCCTTTTTTTGTGTTTGGACAGGGCTGGTCATCCTGCTGTCCGGAGAGAACCAGCCAGCTCTTTGATTTGCCGTGTTCCAAACTCTCAGTTGGGGATGTGTGCATCTCGCTTACCCTCAAGAACCTGAAGAACGGCTCTGTTAAAAAGGGCCAGCCCGTGGATCCCGCCAGCGTCCTGCTGAAGCACTCAAAGGCCGACGGCCTGGCGGGCAGCAGACACAGGTATGCCGAGCAGGAAAACGGAATCAACCAGGGGAGTGCCCAGATGCTCTCTGAGAATGGCGAACTGAAGTTTCCAGAGAAAATGGGATTGCCTGCAGCGCCCTTCCTCACCAAAATAGAACCCAGCAAGCCCGCGGCCACGAGGAAGAGGAGGTGGTCGGCGCCGGAGAGCCGCAAACTGGAGAAGTCAGAAGACGAACCACCTTTGACTCTTCCTAAGCCTTCTCTAATTCCTCAGGAGGTTAAGATTTGCATTGAAGGCCGGTCTAATGTAGGCAAGTAGAGGCAGCGTGGGGGAAAGGAAACGTGGCTCTCCCTTATCATTTGTATCCAGATTACTGTACTGTAGGCTAAATAACACAGTATTTACATGTTATCCTCTTATTTTAGGTTTCTGTTCTAACCTTGTCATTAGAGTTACAGCAGGTGTGTCGCAGGAGACTGGTGCATATGCTTTTTCCACGAGTGTCTGTCAGTGAGCGGGCGGGAGGAAGGGCACAGCAGGAGCGGCCAGGGCTCCACGCATCCCCGGGGAAGAAAGGAACCGGGCTCCACAGCGCCTGCTTTTTGTAGCGGCCCAGAAGCAGCCAAGGGCGCTGACTCCCGCTAGTGTCAGGAGAAAAGTCCCGTGGGAAGGGTCCTGCAGGGGTGCAGGGGTGCACGCAAGTGGGGGTGCACAGGCGCTGTGGCGGCGAGTGAGGGTCTCTTTTTCTCTGCCTCCCTCTGCCTCACTCTCTTGCTATCGGCATGGGACGGGGTGTTCAGAGCAGTGTCCTCCTGGGGTTCCCATGTGCAAAATCAACATCAGGAACCCAGCTTCAGGGCATCGCGGAGGCGCGTCAGACGGCAGATTTGGAAAGTTAACCATTTAAAAGAACATTTTTCTCTCCAACCTATTTTACAATAAAAGCAACTTTTAATTGTATAGATATATATTTCCCCCTATGGGGCCTGACTGCACTGATATATTTTTTTTTTTAAAGAGCAACTGCCACATGCGGGATTTCATTTCTGCTTTTTACTAGTGCAGCGATGTCACCGGGGTGTTGTGGTGGACAGGGAAGCCCCCTGCTGTCATGGCCCCACATGGGGTAAGGGGGGTTGGGGGTGGGGGCGGGGGAGAGAGCGAACACCCACGCTGGTTTCTGTGCAGTGTTAGGTAAACCAATCAGGTTATTGCATTGACTTCACTCCCAAGAGGTAGATGCAAACTGCCCTTCAGTGAGAGCCACAGAAGCTCTTCACGTTGAGTTTGCAAAATCTTTTTGTCTTTGAACTCTAGTACTGTTTATAGTTCATGACTATGGACAACTCGGGTGCCACTTTTTTTTTTTTTTCAGATTCCAGTGTGACATGAGGAATTAGATTTTGAAGATGAGCATATATTACTATCTTTAAGCATTTAAAAATACTGTTCACACTTTATTACCAAGCATCTTGGTCTCTCATTCAACAAGTACTGTATCTCACTTTAAACTCTTTGGGGAAAAAAAAAAAAACAAAAAAACAAAAAAAACTAAGTTGCTTTCTTTTTTTCAACACTGTAACTACATTTCAGCTCTGCAGAATTGCTGAAGAGCAAGATATTGAAAGTTTCAATGTGGTTTAAAGGGATGAATGTGAATTATGAACTAGTATGTGACAATAAATGACCACCAAGTACTACCTGACGGGAGGCACTTTTCACTTTGATGTCTGAGAATCAGTTCAAGGCATATGCAGAGTTGGCAGAGAAACTGAGAGAAAAGGGATGGAGAAGAAAATACTCATTTTTGTCCAGTGTTTTTCTTTTTAAGATGAACTTTTAAAGAACCTTGCGATTTGCACATATTGAGTTTATAATTTGTGTGATATTCCTGCAGTTTTTATCCAATAACATTGTGGGAAAGGTTTGGGGGACTGAACGAGCATAAATAAATGTAGCAAAATTTCTTTCTAACCTGCCTAAACTCTAGGCCATTTTATAAGGTTATGTTCCTTTGAAAATTCATTTTGGTCTTTTTACCACATCTGTCACAAAAAGCCAGGTCTTAGCAGGCTCTTAGAAACTCTGAGAATTTTCTTCAGATTCATTGAGAGAGTTTTCCATAAAGACATTTATATATGTGAGCAAGATTTTGTTTTAAACAATTATTTTATTATTGTTGTTATTAATGTTATTTTCAGAATGACTTTTTTTTTTTCTATTCAAAATCAAATCAAGATTTAATGTTTGGTACAAACCCAGAAAGGGTATTTCATAGTTTTTAAACCTTTCATTCCCAGAGATCTGAAATATCATTTGTGGGTTTTGAATGCATCTTTAAAGTGCTTTAAAAAAACAGTTTTATAAGTAGGGAGAAATTTTTAAATATTCTTACTTGGATGGCTGCAACTAACCTAAACAAATACCTGATTTTTCTTTTACCCCATTGAAAATAGTACTTCCTTCATTTCACAAATTTAAAAAAAAAAAAAATCTGGTATCAACCCACATTTTGGCTGTCTAGTATTCATTTACATTTAAGGCTCACCAGGACTAATGATTTTTGTAAACCATTTTCTGGGGTGTACCAAAAACATTTGAATAGGTTTAGAATAGCTAGAATAGTTCCTTGACTTTCCTCGAATTTCATTACCCTCTCAGCATGCTTGCAGAGAGCTGGGTGGGTTCATTCTTGCAGTCATACTGCTTATTTAGTGCTGTATTTTTTAAACGTTTCTGTTCAGAGAACTTGCTTAATCTTCCATATATTCTGCTCAGGGCACTTGCAATTATTAGGTTTTGTTTTTTCTTTTTGTTTTTTAACCTTTGATGGTAAGAGGAATACGGGCTGCCACATAGACTTTGTTCTCATTAGTATCACTATTTACAACTCATGTGGACTCAGAAAAACACACACCACCTTTTGGCTTACTTCGAGTATTGAACTGACTGGATCCACTAAACCAACACTAAGATGGGAAAACACACGTGGTTTGGAGCAATAGGAACATCATCATAATTTTTGTGGTTCTATTTCAGGTATAGGAATTATAAAATAATTGGTTCTTTCTAAACACTTGTCCCATTTCATTCTCTTGCTTTTTTAGCATGTGCAATACTTTCTGTGCCAATAGAGTCTGACCAGTGTGCTATATAGTTAAAGCTCATTCCCTTTTGGCTTTTTCCTTATTTGGTTGGTCTTTCCCATTCTGGCCAGAGCAGGGCTGGAGGGAAGGAGCCAGGAGGGAGAGAGCTTCCCACCTTTCCCCAGCTGCGGATGCTGAGTGCTGGGGCGGGGAGCCTTCAGGAGCCCCGCGTCTGCCGCCACGTTGCAGAAAGAGCCAGCCAAGGAGACCTGGGGGAGGAGCCGCAGTGTCCCCTGTCACCACACGGAATAGTGAATGTGGAGTGTGGAGAGGAAGGAGGCAGATTCATTTCTAAGACGCACTCTGGAGCCATGTAGCCTGGAGTTAACCCATTTTCCACGGTCTTTTCTGCGAGTGGGCAGGCCCCTCCTTGGGGTCTGTGTCCTTGAGACTTGGAGCCCCTGCCTCTGAGCCTGGACGGGAAGTGTGGCCTGTTGTGTGTGTGCGTTCTGAGCGTGCTGGCCAGTGGCTGTGGAGGGGACCACCTGCCACCCACGGTCACCACTCCCTTGTGGCAGCTTTCTCTTCAAATAGGAAGAACGCACAGAGGGCAGGAGCCTCCTGTTTGCAGACGTTGGTGGGCCCCGAGGCTCCCAGAGCAGCCTCTGTCACCGCTTCTGTGTAGCAAACATTAACGATGACAGGGGTAGAAATTCTTCGGTGCCGTTCAGCTTACAAGGATCAGCCATGTGCCTCTGTACTATGTCCACTTTGCAATATTTACCGACAGCCGTCTTTTGTTCTTTCTTTCCTGTTTTCCATTTTTAAACTAATAACAGCAGGCCTTTTGCGTTTACAATGGAACACAATCACCAAGAAATTAGTCAGGGCGAAAAGAAAAAAAAAATAATATTATTAATAAGAAACCAACAAACAAGAACCTCTCTTTCTAGGGATTTCTAAATATATAAAATGACTGTTCCTTAGAATGTTTAACTTAAGAATTATTGCAGTTTGTCTGGGCCACACTGGGGCAGAGGGGGGAGGGAGGGATACACAGATGGATGCCACTTACCTCAGATCTTTTAAAGTGGAAATCCAAATTGCATTTTCATTTGGACTTTCAGGATAATTTTCTATGTCGGTCAATTTTTCGTTTTCCCTAACTCACTCAGTTTAGTTTGGGATGATTTGATTTCTGTTGTTGTTCTTGATCCCATTTCTAACTCGGAATTATGAGCCTCTATGTTTTCTGTTAGGTGAGTGTGTTGGGTTTTTCTCCCCACCAGGAAGTGGCAGCATCCCTCCTTCTCCCCTAAAGGGACTCTGCGGAACCTTTCACACCTCTTACTCAGGGACGGGGCTGGTGTGTGTGTGGTACACTGATGTGTCCAGAAGCAGCACTTTGACTGCTCTGGAGTAGGGTTGTACAATTTCAAGGAATGTTTGGATTTCCTGCATCTTGTGGATTACTCCTTAGATACCGCATAGATTGCAATATAATGCTGCATGTTCAAGATGAACAGTAGCTCCTAGTAATCATAAAATCCACTCTTTGCACATAGTTTCATCTTTACTGAAATATGTTGCCAAAATTTATTTTTGTTGTTGTAGCTCTGGATTTTGTTTTGTTTTGTTTTTTAAGGAAACGATTGACAATACCCTTTAACATCTGTGACTACTAAGGAAACCTGTTTCTTTCATAGAGAGAAAAATCTCCAATGCTTTTGAAGACACTAATGCCATGCTATTTCAGATATGGGTGAGGAAGCAGAGCTCTCGGGACCGAAGGCCAGGCTTCTTGAGCTGTATTGGTTGTCATGGCTACGGTTTCATGAACCACAAGCAGCTCAACAGACTGGTCTGTTGCCTTCTGAAACCCTTTGCACTTCCATTTGCACCAGGTGAAAACAGGGCCAGCAGACTCCGTGGCCCAATTCGGTTTCTTCGGTGGTGATATGAAAGGAAAGAGAATTACACTTTTTTTTTTTTTTAAAAGTGGCGTGGAGGCCTTTGCTTCCACATTTGTTTTTAACCCAGAATTTCTGAAATAGAGAATTTAAGAACACATCAAGTAATAAATATACAGAGAATATACTTTTTTATAAAGCACATGCATCTGCTATTGTGTTGGGTTGGTTTCCTCTCTTTTCCACGGACCGTGTTGTGTTTCTGGCATAGGGAAACTCCAAACAACTTGCACACCTCTACTCCGGGGCTGAGATTTCTTTTACATAGATGACCTCGCTTCAAATATGTTACCTTACTGATAGGATCTTTTCTTGTAGCACTATACCTTGTGGGAATTTTTTTTTTTAATGTACACCTAATTTGAGAAGCTGAAGAAAACAAAATTTTGAAGCACTCACTTTGAGGAGTACAGGTAATGTTTTAAAAATTGCACAAAAGAAAAATGAATGTCGAAATGATTCATTCAGTGTTTGAAAGATATGGATCTGTTGAAACAATGAGTTTCATACTTTGTTTGTAAAAAAAAATAAATAAAGCAGAGAAGGGTTGAAAGTTACATGTTTTTTTGTATATAGAAATTTGTCATGTCTAAATGATCAGATTTGTATGGTTATGGCCTGGAAGAATTACTACGTAAAAGGCTCTTAAACTATACCTATGCTTATTGTTCTTTTTGTTACACATAGCCCTCGTCTGAGGGAGGGGAACTCGGTATTCTGTGATTTGAGAATACTGTTCATTCCTATGCTGAAAGTACTTCTCTGAGCTCCCTTCTTAGTCTAAACTCTTAAGCCATTGCAACTTCTTTTTCTTCAGAGATGATGTTTGACATTTTCAGCACTTCCTGTTCCTATAAACCCAAAGAATATAATCTTGAACACGAAGTGTTTGTAACAAGGGATCCAGGCTACCAATCAAACAGGACTCATTATGGGGACAAAAAAAAAAATTATTTAACCTTCTTTCCCCCCACACCTCATTTAAATAGGGGGGGTAAAAACATGATTTCAGTGTAAATGCCTCATTTTACTTTAGTTTTATTTTGATTTTTATTGAATATAAAGAGGCCAAAATAAATGCGGATCTACTTCTCAGAATAGTATTCCTGTCCAAAAATCAAGCCGGACAGTGGAAACTGGACAGCTGTGGGGATATTAAGCACCCCACTTACAATTCTTAAATTCAGAATCTCGTCCCCTCCCTTCTCGTTCCCTCCCTTCTCGTTGAAGGCAATTGTTCTGGTAGCTAACTTTCTCCTGTGTAATGGCGGGAGGGAACACCGGCTTCAGTTTTTCATGTCCTCATGACTTGCATACAAATGGTTCAACTGTATTAAAATTAAGTGCATTTGGCCAACAGGTAGTATCTATACAATAACAATCTCTGAGAATTTCCATACCTTTTCTTATCTGAAAGGACTCAAGTCTTCCACTGCAGATACATTGGAGGCTTCACCCACGTTTTCTTTCCCTTTAGTTTGTTTGCTGTCTGGATGGCCAATGAGCCTGTCTCCTTTTCTGTGGCCCATCTGAAGGCCTTCATTGGAAGCGTTGTTTACAGTAATCCTTACCAAGATAACATACTGTCCTCCAGAATACCAAGTATTAGGTGACACTAGCTTAAGCTGTTGTCTTCAGAGCAGTTACCAAGCAGCTCAGTGCACAGGTTTTCTCTGGTTCTTACAGGAACCACCTACTCTTCCGGTAATCTGGTCCAGGAGTGGGGTAAATCCTTTAGTCAGTGCATTGGAACTTGATACTTGTGCATTCGGTTCTGTGAATACTGCCCTTTTTGGCGGGGTTTCTTCCTCTCCCCAGCCTGAACTGCTCAACTCTTAACCCAAATTAGTGTCAGCCGAAAGGAGGTTTCAAGACAGTCCTGTCAGTACTTGTGGTGACCTTCAGATTAGACAGTCTTCATTTCCAGCCAGTGGAGTCCTGGCTCCAGAGCCATCTCTGAGACTCGTACCACTGGATATTTTAATGTCAGATCATTACCCACCAAACTTCCAATCGTATGCCTCCCACAGGCCAAGGGAAACAGACACCAGAACTTGGGTTGAGGGCACTACCAGACTGACATGGCCAGTACAGAGGAGAACTAGGGAAGGAATGATGTTTTGCACCTTATTGAAAAGAAAAATTTTAAGTGCATACATAATAGTTAAGAGCTTTTATTGTGACAGGAGAACTTTTTTCCATATGCGTGCATACTCTCTGTAATTCCAGTGTAAAATATTGTACTTGCACTAGCTTTTTTAAAACAAATATTAAAAAATGGAAGAATTCATATTCTATTTTCTAATCGTGGTGTGTCTATTTGTAGGATACACTCGAGTCTGTTTATTGAATTTTATGGTCCCTTTCTTTGATGGTGCTTGCAGGTTTTCTAGGTAGAAATTATTTCATTATTATAATAAAACAATGTTTGATTCAAAATTTGAACAAAATTGTTTTAAATAAATTGTCTGTATACCAGTACAAGTTTATTGTTTCAGTATACTCGTACTAATAAAATAACAGTGCCAATTGCAGAGGTGTGTCTTTGCCTTCTGTTGGGTCCTCAAAGAAGAGGAAAGAGTGCTAATTCCTCCTCCTCATTGACTCCCGCTCACAAGTTCTCCCTGGGTAGGTCGGAGGTGGGGAGGTGTGACGTGAGGCATTGCCTTCGCTGCTAATGTTTTGGGGTGAAGAGTATGTGTGAGATGAGGTTCTAAGATAAAAGGCACACAGCCATACCTGACGTCTTGGTTTCTTCAGTTCATGTTTATGCCTCCTAGCTGAACGCTGCTGTTCACAAGAGGTATATTTGTCTTTAAACACGTGGTAGCTTCATGGGCTCGTGTGGCATAATCTATACACTCTTTACAGATTTGCTCTAAACTGGTTAGTGGTCTGAAAGTGGAAAATTCATTTTTATTTCCTATAATTCAAGCTCATTAGAAATTCAGCGAGCAGGCTGGGCACAGTGGCTCACGCCCATAATCCCAACACTTAGAGAGGCCAAGGCAGGAGGTCTGCTTGAGCCCAGGAGTTCGAGACCAGCCTGGGCAACATCGTAAGACCTCATCTCTACAAAAAATGAAATTAACCGGGTGTGGTGGCACATGCCTGTTGTCCCAGCTACTTGGGGGACTGAGGTGGGAGGATCACGCGGGGCCAGGAGGTCGAGGCTGCAGTGAGCCATAATCATACCGCTGCGCTCCAACCTGGGCGACAGCAAAACTCTGCCTCAAAAGCAAAAAATACCCAACTCTTTGAGCAGGTCTCTCAGCATGTGGAGGAACCTCGTTTACCTCAAGAGTACCACAGTACAGCTTTGCACTGGGCCGTCTTGGAAAGATGTGGCTTAACAGTTGTGCCAGAAAGTAATTCCTCAAGAACCCGTGGCTTCTAGGTGGAACCACCTGCACCCACCTCAAATCCTTCCAGCCTGAAGGTGACACATAGGTGGCAGAACGCTTGGGGTTAAATTCATTTTCACTTCCAAGGAGGAACTATCTTCTTGGGGATGGTGTTTTGGACTCTCCTCTGATTACTTAATAGTTGAGGTCCTGACACATTATATAATAAATATGTGAAAGGACGCACAGCAAACCAGAGCTGCATAGGTGTAGCTCAGGCTAGCAGGCCTGCCCCAGGTCCTCTAGAGTAGCCCGGGCAAATGTGCCTGTGTGCTGTGGGCAAACCTGGCAAAGCAGACTGCATCTCTGCCTTCCCTTTGTGTGTGATGCTGTTTGTTCTGACAAGTTTGGGGTGCTACTTACCTCAGCTGGTGAAATCAATTCGGGGGAACCATAGCTTCAGGTGCTGCAGTGGGGCAGGCCTTGAAACCATCAAAAGCATTGCCAGAGCCCTCAGATGGAGAAGCCAGAGCAGCCCAGGGTGAATGGCATCGAGTTCACTGGCTCTCCTCCTCCTCCCCCAGCGCCGGCACAGGAAGCCCAGTGGGTCGGCAGCAAGGCTGTTATGTTTCATGTCCAGGTCGTGTAGGACACCTGGTCCAAGGGACACTCCGGTGTGGGCTCCCCCAGTCCCATTCCTCTCAGAGGCAAAGATGAACCTGCTAAGGCAAGGGGTGATGGAGCCTTACAAGTTCTCTTTATGGGCCAGGTGCAGTGGCTCACACCTGTAATCCCAGCACTTTGGGAGGCCGAGGTGGGTGGATCACGTGAGCCCAGGAGTTTGAGACCACGTGGGTAACATGGCAAAATCCCATCTCTACTAAAACTAAAAACACAAAAATTAGCTGGACGTGGTGGCGGGTACCTGTAATTCCAGCTACTCTGGAGGCTGAGGCACGAGAATCGCTTGAACCTGCAAGGCGGAGGTTGCAATGAGCCAAGATTGTGCCACTGCACTCCGCCTGGGTGACAGAGCAAGATTTGGTCTCAAAAAAAAAAAAAAAAAAAAGTTCTCTTTCTGAAGCCTCTGTTTCAAAATGGTCCTGAGGAGTTTTTGACTTTGTAACTACTCAGTCTCCACTTCCCTAAAACTTGGATTGCTAAGAATCTGCTTTTAGTTTGTGGAAACAAAGGGCCAGTCTGCAAAGTTTTTACAGAAGATGGGTAAAGCAGCACGTGTTCCTACAAGGGACACAGCCCTCAGGGTGCTGCAAGCCGACAGATGGGTGTCATCCTCCCTGACCACTCTATTCTGAAAGAAGCTCCCTTACTACTGCTGGTCCATTTTTAATAGATTTCTTTAAGATGTCCTCTCCTTCACCTCTCCCCCTTATTTTGCCATAGTCTATTAGAAACTAACATTTGAAGATGCGTGTAAAACACACCTTCCACAGGACCAGCGTGAGAGCCTCATACCTCACACAGACAGGACCACAGAGAGCATGGTGGGGAGCCTGCAGCCAAGCCCCACGTCTTGCTCCATGTTAAACAGCCTCTTGGCCCTCCCGTCTCCAAAGGGCAGCCCTTGTGTTTCTATAGGTCCAAGAATTATTCTTAATGGGCCGGGCACAGTGGCTGACATCTGTAATCCTTGCACTTTGGGGAGGTCGAGGTAGGTGGATGGCTTGAGCCCTGGAGTTTGAGACCAGTCTGGGCAACATGGTGAAACCCTGTCTACAAAAAATACAAAAATTAGCTGGGCATGGTGGCAGGCAGGCTGAGGTCGGCGGATCACCTGAGCCCGGGAGGTAGAGGCTGTGGTGAGCTGTGATCCTGCCACTGCACTCCAGCCTGGGTGACACAAGTGAGACCCTGCCTCAAAAAAAAAAAAAAAAAATCTTAATGGATTTAGCAGGGGAAAGTATTGCATTGGAGTTAACACTGCTGGCTGGATTTCTAAATGTATTCTTAAAGGACCAGCAGTGGACCTGTATTATCCCAGTGTGACAGTTCTGGTTGGACCCTTCTCATGCCGTCAGTCACCATGGACAATCAGGCCATTCATTCACCCTGGCACAGCAGCACCCTGTGGATCTTCTCTACTCCAGGGTCACTGCTTGCCTTTCCAAAGAAAACTGACTTGTGTACCTGCTCTTCAGCCTTAAAAAGTAAAGTAAAACATCCTACTCTACATACGCTTTCCAGGCCTGGAACTCAATACGCCAAAGGTAAGTGGCCGGTCATCACTTCTTCTGTGTTCACTGTTTAAACAGGCATCCTGGTGGGCTGCTGCAGGTCAGCTGCAGAGGCCAGTTCTCCAAGACAATGTCATTGTTCCCAGCCCGTTAACTGACCCGTATACAGTAGTGCCCTGTGGTCCTTCCCCCGGGGAAAGGATTCACTGGCACACCGAGGGAATGGCTCTAACTCATGTCTCAAACCAATGCCTTTTAGGATGCCACTGATCGAAGAGCTTTGGCTCTTTTTCAGTGTGACTCCATCTGCTAATTTCTTGGGAGACAACCTTCCCATAAAACATCCTGTGGAATTTCAAAGACAGACAAGTTGGGACTGAGAAGGGGGGAAAAAAAGATGGAGGAGAACAAAACGAAATGAGAAGCCAGGACAGGGACAGCTTCCTAAAAGCGACAGCAAACTGATAGCAACAGATGACTTGACCCTGAAAACCACATGTAATGAAACTTGCGGGGAAAACACATTGGCCCAACTTTGTGAGTATCAGCTGGGAAAACAATTCATGTTACATCTGTCCAGTTAATTGCTTTCGTTCTTTTGCAACAACCAAAAGCTAGAGATGGGGGATGCCAGTTACTCTGACTCCGGACTGTCCTCCCCCGGCTCCCGCACCGTCCTCCTCTCCTTGCCCCTCCTAAGGTGACTTGTCTGCTAATCACCAGGAGTGGCTTGCCACCGGCCTGTCAGGAAGACAGCAAAACAAATCCCAAACCATTCAACTTGACTCCTGCAAGTACAAACTCCAGCAACTCCATCAAGTCTTAATAGCATTATATTAAAGTGAAACCATCTTCTTTTAAAAAAGAAAGAAAAACAAACAAAGGGAGAGAGAAAGAGAAAAAGAAAGGTGCGAGTGTTGGTTTGAACAATGAGGTTGTGAGTTCTGGGCAGCAGGGCTCTGATGTTGGCCCAATCGGTGCCTTGTGTCTGGGCCCCAAGAAGGCAGGCGAGAGAGCCCCGAAGCCTCCAGGCAGCAGGAGATTGGAGAGAGGACACAGCATTCCACCATTCGGGAGCAGCCAGAAGCTCTGACGGAACAGAGTAGGAGGGAGATGGGAAAAGCAGGTTTGGATGCTTCCACTCGAGCCAGACGCCGTTTCATTCCCGGGGTTAGCTGAACACGGTGTTGTGCTGCTGGGTCACCCGGATGAACGTTGCCCTCCTGCTGAGCTCCTTGAGTTTGGCGGCCCCCACGTAGGTGCACGTGGACCTCAGTCCCCCGAGAATATCCAGGATAGTGTTTTCCACATCTCCTTTGTAAGGCACTTCCACAGTCTTACCCTCAGAGGCTCTGGAAGACAAAATAAGTTTTCTTTTTATCTAGTTCCCCACCCCCATGCCCTTAAGAGCCCAGTTAGAATTATTCCCAGCTCCAGCACTTTCTGCAGCCCCCAAGGCACTCAGAAAACCAGACCCCACCCTCTGATCCCATCCCCACATTTCTACCAAGTGCCAGCGTGATCACCAGCATCTCAGATGAACACATTCCTCCCACCCAAAGGGCATGGGCTCATTGCTGGCTGCCCTGCACGCTGGGAAGAGGAAAGTCCTGGTAAGTAGCACTTGAAGGAGTTGGGGACCCATACCACCTGGCTTTGTGCCATTCTCTCCAGCAACGTGCTCCCCTCTGCCCCTAACAGAAACCACCTTTACCTTTCTATTCTACCTCAACATGCACACCAACTTCCCAACAACCAGGGGCCCAAAATGTCCCCAGAATGGCCCTGGCAGATTCCCCCTGGAAACAGCCTCCTGCCCTCCTGATCAACAACAGGAAAAGTCCAGAGCTTCACCTCCTGCCTGCTCTAAGATCAGAGACCAAGTGTCTTCAAGGGGGACGACCAGGACGAGGAGAACATAAAATGGGTAACTCAGGTCCTACTAGCTTACGTGGAAATCACCAGCAAGGTGATTTCATTAAAGTGGCTCCATTCTGATAGCCTGCCTGTCTTTCTGCTTTGCTGGGTACACCAGTCACTCCCAGTTTGCCTCCCTGTTCTCTTACAGGTCACTACACCTATCGCCCTGCACATGTGTGGGTCCAAGCAAGGTGGAATCAGAGGAGAACCGAGACCTGTCTTAGCACCAGAGGCTTCCAGGCTTTGGATAGCATCTTCCACATTTTCAGAGGAGTATTTAGAAATTCAGAAGGTCTGGCCTATGGCGTGAACACTAAGCAACATTTCACTGTCCCCACTGAGCCCATGTCCCTCTCTTCACAAGGCCACCATGTAACACTGCTTGATTGTTACTTGGGTAACACAGGTCATGTCCCCTTACTGCAAAATAGGGATGTGGTCCAGACACATGTATATATTACCAGAATGTGTGTATATTACACATGTGTGTATTACCAGAAGGAAATCTGAAATCTAGGCAAAACGCTAGTTCTCATCTAAGGGCCATGCAAGTTCTAACAAGTACCCAAATTCTGGAACCTTCTGTAGCCATTCTCTTCAGCTGTTGAAAAAGAGCATCAGAGTATCTCTCTCTCTCTTTTTTTTTTTTTTTTTTTTTTTTGAGATGAAGTTTTGCATTTGTCGCCCAGACTGGAGTGCAGTGGCACAATCTCGGCTCACTGCAACCTCTGCCTCCTGGGTTCAAGCAATTATCCTGCCTCAGCCTTCTGAGTAGCTGGGATTACAGGTGCCTGCCACCACTCCCAGCTAATTTTAGTGTTTTTAGTAGAGATGGGGTTTCACCATGTTGGCCAGGCTGGTCTCGAACTCCTGACCTTAGGTGATCCACCTGCCTTGAAGAGCATCTCTTGACCAGACATTCGTTACCTAGAATTTCAAAAGGGGGTTAACTCTTGGTCGCTGAACAGGCAGGACTACCCTTGGGTAAAATCTAGCTACTTAAACCATCGGCCAGTGTAGAGCCCCAAGCTCAGGAAGCCAAAGTCACTGGCCATACCCAGGACAGTTCAGGGCTCAGAACTTTGTGACCCCAGACAGGTGCCTGTACACATGTGCCTGCAATGACTGACATTTTGTTTCCGTAAGATATTTCCATGGCCTTCCTGGAGCTTGTTGGAAATTTCTAGATTCTCACTGGTGTGAATCTAGAACTCATTTTTTGCTGATGCTTAAGTCTGTTCATCTGTAAAATGAAGGTACTTCATTCCCGGGGACAGCATGAGAATGAAATGATAGGGAAAGAACCAGCAGTGTGTACATAACTGTGCCATAAGTAATTTGTGAAAGTCAGGAAGCATTCTCATGATGAGATCATGGTCATGAGGCTGAAAACTGTGCGCGAGAGAGACAGAGAGAGAGAAAAAGAGAGAGAGAGAGAGAGAGACTGAGACTCAGAAACAGAAAGGCAGGACAGGTACAGCCTGCAAGGCTCAGTCTGCAGCCTTCGGATTAAGGTTCTAATTTTCTCAGCAATTTCCTTCCTGGTTAAAGATTTGAATCCACTTCCAGAATAGAGTCTTGCTACTGCTGAATCTTTTTTTTTTTTCTGTTATATCTAAACACTGCTGAAATTACAGGAGACGGTTTTTCTTTCAGCTCTCTGGCTTCTGTTTGTGCCATAGCCTGCTCTGGCCTTCCTGATTCTATAACTGTTTTTAGAACCCAAAAGAGATGCAGCCATGAGGGTGAAAAAGGTACTCCAGGCAAAGCACCTAGCTGCTGCTCACCCATGAAAGCTCCACTTACATTCTGGCACAGAGGAGACACATGCAGGCCCTTGGATGATGACAACAGTTGCTGGTAAAGCACGAAGCTTCTTGGCCATAGGTCCAGCTTAGTGCCTCCTCCTTACCCAACCGTGCAACCTCCTCCTCTATCAGGGACCGCGTGGGGGAAAGAGGGCTTCGGGGACTACCTGGAAGAAGTGCATCTCTCATTTCTGATTGGCGCAGTCCCCATCGATCTTTCCCATCCTGCTTTTCCCATATTATAATATCTTTATTGGGGTTCACCACCAAAAGAGAAAGAGACTGAGGTGAATGAGAACTGAAGTAAGTCTGCTAGAACCCCACGGAAGAACAGAACTCTGGTAGAATACACCCCACCCCCCAATCCCCCTACCTACAAATCTCAGTGGAGTTCTGAGATTTTGCTGCTAGCTTGATATAAACCTTATATAATACATCTGAATCCCAGGTCCTCAAAATGACCCTCTGGGTGTGGAATGAGTGGTAGGAAATAAAGGGCGTCAGCCAGGGAGGGCTTAGGTTTCCACTCCAGCACGGGATAGAGTCTGAAAACTGGAGGGAGAAGCCTGAGGTTTCCTGGAGAAAAGCAACCAGCAGATTCACAGCCAGCTTCCCTCTGTGGATGGAGGACCTTTGGTCCTGCCCCCGTTTTATATAGCTTGTTGTCGGCACTAATCCTGATGAGAATAACAGTAGGCTCTATGGAGCACGGTGAGGCAGTGAGTATACCGTCATCAGGTTCTTTTTCTTTTTTATTTTTATTTTTGGGAGGGTATCACTCTGTTGCCCAGGCTGGAGCATAGTGGCACGATCACAGCTCACTGCAGCCTCCAACTCCTGGGCTTAAGCCATCTTCCTGCCTCAGCCTCCTGAGTTGCTGGGAGTACAGTCACGTGACACCACACCCAGCTAATTTTTAATTTGTTTGTAGAGACAGGGTCTTGCTATGTTGCCTAGGCTTAACTGGAACTCCTGGACTCAAGCAGTCCTCCAACCTTGGCTTCCAGAAGCACTGGGATTACAGGCATGAGCCACTGTGCCTGGCCCCATCATCAGGTTCTTAAAACACACATGCAGACAGTTAAAATGGAAGTGAATCAGGAAAAGACCCAGGTGTCTTTGGAGACCATGGATTAAAAACACACATCAGGAGCCGGGTGTGGTGGCTCATTTATAATCCCAGCACTTTGGGAGGCCGAGGTGGGTGGATCACTTGAAGTCAGGAGTTTGAGACCAGCCTGGCCAACATGACGAAACCCCGTCTTTACTAAAAACACAAAAATTAGCTGGGCATGATGGCGGGCACCTATAATCCCAGCTACTCGGGAGGCTGAGGCAGGAGAATCACTTGAACCCGGGAGGCAGAAGTTACAGTGAGCTGAGATCATGCCATTGCACTCCAGCCTGGTCAACAGAGCATGACTCCTCCACAAAAAAATAAAATAAAATAAAATAAAATAAAATAAACACATCAGCAGAAGTAAGCCCCACTTCTACAGTGGATGACACAACTAAATGGCTGAAAATGCTGCTGTGTCGACTCTCAGAGCCTGGAGGCAGGTGAGACGCAGTATGAGCTGTATGCAGCATTCTTCAGGAAAGGCCTGGCCACCGTGCAGCAGTCTAGACCACACCTATGGCTTTCTGTGCAAAAGGAGAGCCATTCTTCAACTCAATCCTTTCATCCTGAACTCTTCTCAAGCCAGAGATCTAAGCTTACAGGGATAGCTCAGCACAGGCTCTACTGGAAGGACAAGGCAATAATTCCACCCACCCCCAGAGGTCTGGAGTATTCCCTTCAGGACTGGTACCCACTCACATATACCCCCGGTCACACTTCCAACCCGTCCTCAAACACTGCTTCTCTGTACTTGCTTTTGGGAACCCCAAACACTGCAAATGCTAACTGGATACAAAGGCCTCTTTTAAAAGAACCCCTTCCCACGGTACGTTAATATACACAGAGCTGCTGTTCAGACCTGCTTCCATCCCATCTCTGTAAGAAACAAGAGCAAGGCCAGGCCTCAAGAGTGAGCTTCGGGGCCACTTCCTCACCTGTACTCAGCAACTCCTCCTGCGTGCTTCTTCATGGCCGTGTCAGAGCTCATCCCGTAGAACAGTTTGAGCTTCCGTCCGTTCCTCTCAATCACTTCTCCAGCACACTCCGTATGACCTGAAAACATTCCTCCCAGCATGACAAAATCTGCTCCAGCTCCTAAATGCCGACGGTGGGGATAAAAGGGAGCAGCAGAGAAAAGAGCTCAGGGGAAACAGATTCTCAAAAAATCCAAGTGCTTGCCCAGTTCATCCCCCTCCCCAACAGCTATAGCCAAGAGAAAGGCTGGACCTCTCCTGCCTATCTCCTGGAAAAAGGAAGGCTTCCATGCAGGGAGACAGGGCCATGGGACACTGGGAGAAACAAATGCAGCCTACTGAAGGCTAGTGTCCCATATACTGGACCATGCTGAATGGCTTTTAATGGCTAACTAGGAGCACCTTCCTCAGATCTAACTCTTTTAGAATCAGAGAAACATTAAGAATTGGGCAGTATTCCACCAGGCACGGTGGCTCACGCCTGTAATCCTAGCACTTTGGGAGGCCGAGGTGGGTGGATCACTTGAGATCAGGAGTTCAAGACCAGCCTGGCCAACATGATAAAACCCCATTTCTACTAAAAATACAAAAATTAGCCGGAAATTGCTTGAACCCGGGAGGCGCAGGTTGCAGTGATCTGAGAGCATGCCATTGCACTCCAGCCTGGGCAACAGGGCAACAGAGGGAGACTCTATCTCAAAAAACAAAAAGGGGGCAGTATCTTAGAAAGCATGTTATCTAATCTTGTGCTTAATGCTATGACTCCTCTATGATGCCCCCTCAGGTGTCTGGTCTGTACATGAAGCTCTCCGCACTCTGACATCCTCTGTGCTTATACATCAGGAAAGGGCCTCAGAACAGACTGAAGCGCCTACACTAGAGACAGCTTCAAGGAGAGAAGCCCCTGTGTCATGGAAGTCATGTGATGCTCTACCCGCACCACCACAGTGCTACGCATTAGACTTCCAGAGTAAACACTCTGCCAGACTAATCACCGAATGACAGCACATTTCCAGGACAGGCACAGGAGACAGAGGTACTGAAGCTGCCTGTCTTTGTGGGCTATGCTGGAACAGGCCCAGGGCTGGCTCTATGTTTATCCCAAGTGCATGGCACATGGTAGATGCTGAATGATTAGCTGTCAAAAAAGTAAAAAGAACATGTGGGAGAAATAATAAAAATAGTTATCATTCCCCATCTTGTTCATGGATCACTGTGCAGAGGGATTCTTCATTGCCTATTAACTAAGAAACTGCTACAACCTCCCCTGAGTAATCCTACTGAGGGTTTACATTCAGAACAGAACAAGGCAGTAGCAGGGTACAGATGTATTAAGTAATAGGATGAAGGAG